TAGGACAAACCCTAGGCGCTGGTTAAGACAAAGGTACAAGATTTAAGCTAGGTGCAGTGATTATGGAGATATTTGCATTTTTAGCGGTCGGCGGCGGATAGCGCCATGTTCGAGCCTCCGCTAAATGCAAGTTCTGCATTGGAAGCAGATACAGAAAAAAGAAAGAAATAATACAAAAAACGGCTAGGCTTAATAAGTTCCGAATATGAAGTAGTAACTGGGAATGCCTAAGATAACGTGTAATTCGCTGCAGTAGCGAAGTATGACGCAGTGGGCCGAAAAGCATACTTTCTCAGTAAACGTGGTAAAAGTTAGGAAAACAGACGGAAAGGTTTTAGGGAGTTACTAGGTAGGCTGTAAGAATTATTATATAGGTAGAACAGCACAGGATATGGTGTAGTTAGCCCACAGCCAGTATGCGACCATGTGCGATTTTCTGTGTATATTGGGCCGCAGAATCCACTATGAATGTGGAATTCAACGTTTTTAATGCTCCGATGTGGATGCGAAAATTATACCAAAGCCACATGAGCTGTGTCCATATGGATAAGACAAGTGAACATAAAACGCATTTGCCCCGTCTGAACTAGGATAACGCAAGCATCTCCTACAGAAATATTACCAGTTTCGACTCTTTGAGGCTATTTTATACGTCATTATGGTTGTATCACTGACACTAATGAGCCAGGGTGGTCCTCCAGTGATAATAAAAAACTAATGTGTGAAAATTCACAAAATGTGTCCAGGTGAGAAACATCTTGGGTTCCGCTTTGGTTAGACACGAATACCACTTCTTTTGGGGTTGCGCCATCTCAAGCATGACCAAGCATGACCAAATGAATTGGAAATGAAATTTATGCCCCTTAAAGAGACCTAGTTTAAGTGTAAGTTGGTTTGGCCCAACTGCGGTGAAGAAGCATCTAGAATGCAACATCAGCCTCAGCATGGGGCACCCTTACAAACATAATTACATATATACGTACATATATATATTTATATGCACGTATATTTATATGTGAATATATATATCGGCAGGAGGGCCTATGGTGCGCTGAGGCTGGTGGTGGATAGATCCTGACAGATGGTCTACCCATTGCTGCTACTGTTGTGCCACTTGCTGATGTCCTGGGCGCCTCCTCGTTCCGACCGCTGGGTGGGATTTGGGTTTCGCCCTTTTCCCTGCTATGATCCAGGACACCAATCCGCATGAGTCAGTGAACTAACCATGTGCTAGACCCGCTGCCTTTCGGGTGTTTATTTAATCGAAGGCTTTGGTTGAGGACTCAAGTCGTTCTCCTGTCAGGAGTGGGCGCCCTGCCAGTATCCTAGCCCATCCTCTTCGGAGGTTAGGAAGTGGTCGATGGCCCACTTCAAGTTAAACCTAGCCATGGGAGACAACAGGTCTACGGGTTATAAGCTTAAAGATCGATTGGCGTAGAGCACGAGCGCCGCGCATTGTCTCTGACGGTAGGCGGACACCTCCGGGTGTTCAATGGTTTGCTACTGCCCGCCTCAAGCCAGGCAGCCCCTGGTCAAATTGGTGCAAACCCGCCAAAACCCAACTGCGTCTGGCCGTGCTCGCAGGTGCGTATCCAATTACGGTCGCAAACCATATATTAAACGTTCCAGAACCTCAAAGTCGGCGTGTGACGGCCGTTAAGCAGATCCCAATCTGTCTCTGCAATCACATTCCCGAGCTGGATCTGCTCCCCACTGCCTTGTGGGTCAGGCTATTAAGCCAAAGGCCCCGGGGGAGTCCCTCAAGCAAACCTCCAAACCACCCACTGACTTGTGGATCATGCGATTGAGCCAAAGTCTCCGGGTTGAGTCCCTCAAGCAAACCTCCGAAGCACAACAACCATCTCGCGTGCGATTGCCCACCAATGCAATCGTATATCCGCGCAGAGCACTAAGCATCGGGTGCTGGAACGGGTGCTGCTAGTGGACCGGAACTCCAGCGAGCGCCCGGAGCGACGCACTGCACTGGTCGCGATGGAACTGGCGCGTTAACACATCGATATTGCGGCGCTCAGTGAAACTCGGCTCGCTGAGCAAGGTAAGTTGCATGAAGCAGGTGCTAGCTACACATTCTACTGGGCGAGAAACGCCGCCTCAGCACCACGTGAATATGGGGTCGGAATTGCAATATCCGATCGCCTCCATGGCCAGCTGGTGGGTGAACCAACGGGCATCAGCGCACGACTGAGGACTGTTCGCCTATGACTCGGAAGAGATAAGTTTGCTACTTTTATAAGCACGTACGGTTCGACCACGTTTTATCCTGACGACACGCGTGATAAGTTCTACACTGAGCTATCCTCCGTGGTACGGTTTGTGCCGAGGAGCGACCGACTATTTCTACTGGGTGATTTCAATGCGCGCGTTGGGCGTGTTGCATCGGTCTAAACAGATGTTATCGGTGCGCATGGCTTTGGCTCAGCGAATGCGAACGTTGACAGTCAGCTCTCACTGTGTGCCACTCACGGGCTGACGAGCACGAACACTCGGTTTGCACCGAGTGCGAGCGAAATAGCAACTTGGACGCACCCACGGAGTGGTCACGCTCACCTGCTCGACTATGTCATCGTACATCAGCGTGATATGGGTGAAGTGCGCAGGACACATGTACTGCGTGGAGCTGAGTGTGGCACTGATCACAAATTGGTGAGAACCAAACTGTACATATATTTTCGTAAATCTATGTATTGCACTCCCGCCGTGAATCGGCGTAAATTTAACATTCTCCCCCTCGGTAATGTGGCGAAACGTACTGAGCTGGAGAAGGCGATGGCTGCGCGCCTGTGTGATGTGGAATGCATAGCCACAGTGGGCGACCTGTGGCACCACATTCGTGACCAGGTGACAGCTGTTGCCGAGGAGACCATCGGGCGTGCCAACTGTAAGCGGCCTGATTGTTTTCATGAAAACAATGCGACGATCAGCGCATTGGTGTCGAAGAAGAATGCAGCATTTGCTGTGCATGTTGCCGACCCTAGTGACTTGGGGAGGAGTAGTCAGTTTCGCAAACTTCGACGGCGACTGACCCGAGAGCTCCGGCGCATAAAATTGCATGGTGGACGGAGAAGGCGAAGCATATGGAATGCACCGCTGAACGCCGCCAACACAAGGAATTCTTTGAGTCCTTGAAGGCGGTGTATTGATGGATATTGGAGCTGCTGATCGGTGGTAGTTCAGGCGCTACCTGCACACAGACTGCAGACATGATGCAGATCTGGCGAAAACACTTTGACTGTCTATTGAACAGCCGTCCAGAGATCGACTAGCCTACATTGAACTGCCTGAAGCAGCACGATGTGAAGACGAGTCTGGCGGACACGCCGACACTGGATGAGACGCAGAGAGCATTTGCTCAGCTGCGAAACGGCAAGTGTGCCGGAACCGACGGGATTCAGCCTGAAGTATTGAAACACGGTGGACCCGCGTTGTTGATTGCGCTGCACCACTTGGTGCAACGCGTGCAGGTTGAGGAAGAGGTGCCTTCTGAGCTGAAGGATGCCCTTGTGCTACTACTCTACAGGGGCACAAGTAGCGAGCAGCGTTGCACGAATTATCGTGGCATCAACTTGATGAGTTTTGTGGGCAAGGTGATTGCCCGAATCCTGCTCAACCGGCTCGGCAGTCAGGTTGTGGATCCTAACGTGGCGAAAGAGCAATGCGGATTCCGTTCGGGTCGCAGCACTATAGATATGGTGTTTGCTGCTCGTCAGTTGCAAGAGAAGTGCAGAGAACGACACCAGCCATTGTACTCGCTTTTATAAATAAATAAATAAATAGTTTACTCTCGAATTTGTCGAGACACACCAAGCAAGGCATGATCAATAACAAGGCATAATTTCACCAAGGCATTTGATACGGTGAACCGCGATGCATTGTGGCTGATGTTGGGTAAGTTTGGTTGCCCGCGTAACTTTGTAAGTTTAATTGGATGTCTGCACACTGGTATGCGAGCGAGGGTGCAGCTGAGTGGAGTGACCTCGGATGACTTTGCAGTTGTCTCCGGTGTGAAGCAAGGCTGTGTCTTAGCTCCTGCCCTGTTTAATATCTATCTTCATGCAATGATGTCCTATGCTTTTGATGCCGCTTGTGATTACGGTGTTCGTGTGGAGCACCGTATTGATGGTGGGTTGCTGAACATCCGTCGTTTCGGTGCGAAAACCTTAGTCTGTGAGATAAATAAATAAATAAATAAATAAATAAATAGTATATTCTCTGTAAAACGAGACACACCTCTAAAAGGCATGATCAAATATGCATACAAGCATAGCTTCTTTGGAATATTAAAACATTTCGTTACAATGAAAGGAATAAACGAAAAGATGTAGTCCATAAGAGCGAGCATATTGTCAGGTAATAGTCAGACCAAGGATCATAATGGCGCCGTGGCGCGCAAAAACTGTTGCGTCAAGATACAAGTGGGGGGTAAATTTGACATGTAGTGATCCATGAGCACAGGAGCCCGAACAAGGTTTAGTGCAATCAATGACCATTACGAAGCCGGGATGATCGGTACTCCACTAAAGCATTCTTCATAGTAAAATCAGTTGCACAGGTTCGATGTTGGAGGCTGAGGACTGCGTCAGTGTGAAAGGTATAGCAGTGACTTTATTTTGTGGCGAGTCACATCCGCCACGTTGCAGTGTTGTTAAGCGGACATTTGTGGCTTTTTATAGGGAGAACGCTTGCCAGGCGAAAACCCACCACGTCCTGGAACACTGTCGTAGCTTCCGTTGAACTGTAGTGCTAGTCGGCTATACATCGTATAGACCGATTTTGCACTCTATTATTCGCAGTCGGTCGACAGCCAAAATTTTTCGTTGGTTGGCCAAATGGCTTAGTACTGAACCGGCAATAGTCGATGAAGCCAGTCAATGATGTAAAAGAGTCGCTGAGTCGAATGATAATGATGCGGGTGAGTAACCACATTGTTAATAGAGGCCGGCTTTTTCTATTATATTGTCCGGCTCGCAACCCGTGTCCAGCTATCCATGCTGGACTTGTCATAGGGACGGTGAGTGCAGTTGTTTCTTGTGTCTGAATATGTCCAAAACAGGAATAAATGCTATTCTCCGCGAAGTGGACAAGTATTTCCTTCAAATGTAAGTGTAATTGTCTCCATAACCAAGTGAGAGCTCCAGGAAAAATCATCGGAAAAGCCGCTTATGCGCGCGCAGTGCTGTCCGTGAAATGACATCAGAAAAGCTCCAGGTGACTGGAGAATCGGAATGTTTGAGGCAGTGAATGTAATCACGCCAGAATTGTCAGTCTCCGGTTGTGGAACAGTGGATCCATGTAACTGCATTATTCCAGGTGAGTAAATTGTTCTACTGTGAGTACGAGGCGAGCTAAACCCATTTGTTTAGACCCCGTGGTGGTAGCTTCTCCAGAATGGCGGAAAGAGCTCCATTTGGAACGATGTGTGGGTTCTTCATCTCCCGGAGTAAAGAACAAGCATGTAATCCAGCTGGCTATTGAAAGTGGGTCGACTATTCCCAGTGGATAAACCTTCTTGTTTTGGCGGATGTATCTGTGGAAATCTCGAGAGAAAACGGGCATCGGACAAGAGGCAGCCAAACAGAAAGACAGCAACGAAGCAAGAAGCACAAACACAGACTGGTGGCGCGCAACGGTGCCTATGATACATTAAAATTTATGTAATTTTGTTTAGTATACATGATTTGCAAGCGCGTTCTGTACATCACGTCGCTGGTGTGCCTCAGACTACAACTACTAGGTAGAAAGAAGGGTATAACAAAGCGTGTAGACAACGTTAAGCGATTAATATGATTATTGGAGAGTAACAGGTAAACCCATGATGATGACAGCAGACCGAATGCGAACGGCATCTTAGGTGAAACTAAGGACAACAGGGTTGAGACCGAATGCGGGAGCAACATGGGTAAAGCAACGTTCCAAGAAGAAAAGGATATTTAAGGAATCAGCTATGAGCGAAAGAATGCGGACGGCAGTGCGAAGAGTAACTCATGAGAGCAATTAAGAGACGATAGTCAGGATGAAAAAGGTTTACTACTAAAGTGTGGTGAGCCAAGGACGCTCTCGTGCGAAGTATGAAACGTTCAGTGCTGAAATAGCACCGGTAATATCCCGGTAATCTGAGAGAACTCTAAAAGCCGGAGACCAAACAGACGAGACTCGAGAAGTCGACACATCCGGAGGCCTCGTAGTAGTCCCAGAAAATTACACTGATCAGATGATGACAAAGAAGGGCATGGCACTAAGCGTCGGACATCCGATTGAAGATGTGAGAGTACAGGTTACTGATGGAAGTGCCTATATTAATAAAGGGTAAACAAGTCTAGCGTGCTGTCAATGTAAGCAAGACATAGTTGTGAGTCTAGAGAGATTAGCTCGGTATATCTTGCTAGTCTGGAAAAGGTCAAAGGAGCATACCGGTCAGATGAGACTAGGTTATTACAAGGCACTAAGAGTTGGCAGTCCGATTAGAGAAGAAATGATAGTAGAGGGGCCATAAGGAGAGGAGACGGTCCGGATAGAGAGAGGTTTACTTATAAGGTGTGGAAAAGTCCACGGGGCTCGAGAGGTAATGGGCACGGAGCGTTCAGTCTTCCGAGCATAGCAGGCAGCGTCGCAGAAGTAGGAGAGAAGAAGACCGAGCTGCCGAGGTTGGACTTGGTCGGCGCATTGTGATTGAGTCCTATGGTTCATTGGGAAAGTAAGTGGAGTCAGTAGGATCGGACTGGTCAGAGATAAAAGTGGTTATATCAACATAGGGCGGACAAGTTCAGCAGGATATCAAGGTGAGGGAGGAAGTGCTCTGGATCGACGGAGCCTAGACCGCTAACATCCCGGTAGCCTGGTAGCGGTCCCATAGAATTTGGCTAATCAGCTGAGGCTGAGTGACGGATGACAGAGACTCAATCGTCCGATTGAAGAATGATTGGATACGAACGGCGCTCAGTCATCTGAACGAGGGCTAGTAATGTCACAGGAGTCTGAGAGAAGTTGGAAAGCGGGAGACCAAACAGACGAGACAGGATTAGTCGGCGAGACGACATTGAGTCCAACAGCTAATTTTAGGAGGGCAAATGGAGTGGGTCGAGAGGTGGAGGTGACTATATAAATAGAGGGTGAAAAAGTCTAGCAGGCTGTCAACGTAAGTGCGATATAGCTTGAGTCTACAGAGTCTAGACCGTTTAAATGTTGCTGGTCTGGAAAGGGTCAAAGAAGCAGACCGGTCAGATGAGACTAGGTTATTACAGGGCACATAGTTAGCAGTCCGATTAGAGAAGGTTTGAAAGTAGAGAACGTCATAAGGAGACGGTCCGGATAGGGAGAGGTTTACTTATAAGGTGTGGAAAAGTCCATGGGGCTCGAGAGGTAATGGGGACAGAGCGTTCGCACTTCTCATTCAATGCCGGTAACGTCACAGCAGTCTGAATGAATTCGGAGAGCAGGGGACCGATCAGACGAGACTGGATTAGTCGGCACACTTAGAGTAAGTAGTACAGTTGAGGTGGGAAGGTAAATAAAGAGTCAGCGGAGACGGATGGGTTGGGATGCAAGAAGCTAAATGAATATAAGGTATGCAAGTCAGGCAGGCACGCAATGGGAGAGAAGTTGTGTGATGGTGATACAGAGCCTGAAACTACATTTCGCTAGTTAGGAAGCAGTCAAAGAGGATAATAGGGCAGGGCTCTGAGAGCTCGCTATGCGGATGAAGAAGAAATAGAGACAGGCCGCGATAAGGAGAGGACAGAGTTGAGAGTTTACGTTTACGGATATGAAATGCGACAGTTAACGAGGCTCTAGAGGTAATGGTGACAGAGCATTCAGTCTTCCGAGCATAACAGGCAGCGTCGCAGAAGTAGGAGAGAAGAGGACCGATCTGCCAAGGTTGGACTTGGTCGGCGCATTGTGATTGAGTCCTATGGTTCATTGGGAAAGTAAGTGGAGTCAGTAGGATCGGACTGGTCAGAGATAAAAGTGGTTATATCAACATAGGGCGGACAAGTTCAGCAGGATATCAAGGTGAGGGAGGAAGTGCTCTGGATCGACGGAGCCTAGACCGCTAACATCCCGGTAGCCTGGTAGCGGTCCCATAGAATTTGGCTGATCAGCTGAGGCAGAGTTAACGGATAACAGAGACTCATTCTTACCCGTGAAGAATGTTTTGATAAGAACGGCGCTCAGTCATCTGAACGATGGCTAGTAATGTCACAGGTGTCTGAGAGAAGTTGCAAAGCAGGAGACCAAACAGACGAGACAGTATTAGTCGGCGATACGACTTTGAGTCCAACAGCTAATTTTAGGAGGGCAGATGGAGTGGGTCGTGAGGTGGAGGTGACTATATAAATAGAGGGTGAACAAGTCTAGCAGGCTGTCAACGTAAGTGCGATAT